ATCCTGAAACTTAGTAGATGCATATTTGTTTTATTCTCTACCTTGAAGATGAGGTGGAAAAAAAAAAGATGATATCCATCTTAAATTTTTTTAACAAAAAATTAGGATCAAAGCATTTATACCATTTTTTGTTATGAGCATAACAAACAAACACATATTTTTTTGCTCGGGGTTCAAGTTTTCCTTGACTATGAATGTGAACGAAAGAAATAAATCCAAATATATTTACAGTTAGGGAAGATGAGAGATGATTCATTAGAATTTTTTTTGAAAAACCTCAAAAGACGTTTCAATGTTTAAAACCTTAATGGGTGTTCTATTTATATAAAATATACTAAGAATAACTTCACTTTAAAGATATTTAGGTACATGATTGGTAAATAATAATGTTCAAGCCATCTCCAATAAGTGCTTGTTTTTCCTTTCTACCAACTCATTTTATAGTGGAGTATTGTCACAGAAGCTTTAATGAATTATTACTTTTTTGAGAAATATTTAACCTAAAGTATTTTTGAAATACTCTCGGTCATTAACACTTCGTAATGTTTAAATGGTTGTTTTAAATTGTTGTACAATGGTGAAAACTTTTTGAAAATTATTTCTACTTTTAGATTTTTGTTTTATTAAACAAACTCAACTTAACCTAGTTCATTAGTGAAAGTCACAAACTATTTCTTTCCAATATGTAAGGTTTTAACCAAGATCCCAAATATCACTATAAATCACAGAACATGTAGTTAATTTGTATATATGTGGAGAAAAAGTGCACCAAGATGTTTATCAAACTAATGAACTTCACATTGAAATAAAGACATTTTTATTCTAAATTAATTTGGAAAACAAATATATTAGATACGAAAACTAGGATGACTTAACCTATAATGTTATAACATAATTTCATTGCCTTTTAAAACAACTAAATCGGTAGTTTGTCATTGTCTATTCGAGTCAAGTTCATTGCCAAATCAGTGGTCTATCTTTTTCCTTAGCACTATCAATCATCTTCCTAGTAGTTAATTCCTGAAACTCATAATAAGAAGAACAGAAGTTAGCTCGACGTTGATGATCAACAGTAACTTTACTAATGGACAACAAGTTACAAAATAGATCAGGAACATGAAAAATATAGTGAACCAACAACGATAAGAGATGGACAGTTTTTATCTCGACAATTATCAAGAGAGAACCATAGACAACTTTAATTTTTCTATTGTCGGCACAAGGTTTATAGGAATAAAATAATTTAGAACAACCAGTCATGTGATTGATTGTGCTAGAATCATATATTTAAGAATGAAAAAAATTAGGAATGACACCTAACAAAGCAGTGGCCAAAGAGTTGCCCTTCTAGACTAAGGAGCGGGATGGATTCAGGGAGAATTTTAGAGGACAAAATAGTTTGTGCAATTGCTATAATTGCTCATTGGTGAAACAAACTGTCATCAGGTTAGCAAACAGCTCCTGAGTTTCTTCATCAGTGGTTTGATATGCTCAACCTTTACACTTGGATTTTTTATTTTCAATTTACAAGTTTATCATGAAACTTCCAACATGATACTTTCATGTGCTATGACTTTGGAATGCTCACACAATGATTGTTTTATGAACTTCTTTGTCAATATCAATTCCTTTTGACAAAAGGGTCGAATTCTCATGTACAATGTTAACAGATGATTAAATGTTGCACATCATTATTTTTCTTGTTGACTCTTCACTTCTAACTTCATAAAAAACTTCTCGAATTGAAGCCAGAGAATTTCTATCGAGAATGCGACCTCAGATTTCATCTAAAGTCCGATTAAGGTCAGCTAAAAACATATAAACCCGATCGTTTTCCACTCTCTTCTTATGGCTAGCATAATCATTCGAATTCTCCTAAATGTCATCATAACATTGATCAAGCTCTTCTATAATGTTACCAACTCATTGGAATACGTCGTAACATCACGATCATTTTATTTGGATTTCCAAAGTTAAGTTTTCATCTAAAAAATTTGGGAGAAATTTTCCAAGTTTGAAGAGATCTTGAACGACCTCCCAAATATCTCGAATACTGGGAAGTAATAGATGCAGCTTTCCTATGGTAGGATCCTGGACTTGATGAACAAAGCCATAGCCAGAGAATTTTTATTATTGTCATTTTTTCAGATTCGGATCGATAGTAGTATGTTTTGAAATTTCTCCTGTTAGATACCCAATTTTGCCTCTCTCGTTGATCACCAATATTATGAATTGAGCCCACTCGCAGTAATTTTGCCCATCAAGTTTTATAACTGTGACATAAGGTAAGTTATGAGGATAATACTCAGCCATGATACGGGCAGTAGGGTGAGCTGACATACTTTCAAAATTATTAGATTCGATAAAGATAGTAGAATTTCTTTGTACCCTGCTCATCATTTATGAGTCATATGACATCTTCAAAATCTGAAGAGTATGCTTGCAGTATTTATCTCAAGAAAGCCATATTGGAACAATTCAGTACGTGCCAGCTACTATCGAAGAAAAGCATACATTATGAGTGAAGGCGAAGGGTAGTCGAGCATAGATGACAGTGACCCAACACAAAGGAAGGTGGAAAGGCAATCGAGCGGGGCACTCGAGCATGACAAGCATGACGTTCAAGTAGTTGTGTGTAACCTAGCAGATCGTTAATCACACCAGGCCTCGCAGGTGAAGGAATATATGGGATTTGGTTCACTTGTTCGATGGTAACTTGAGGGAAATTCAGAGCTTTGATCCCATTATTGTTTTTGGGAGAGAAAAATAATTATTTCTCTTCAATTACATAGAAAATAATTACAAGATATATAGAGAGATATGACTCCCACATTAGAAAAATAATAAAATCATTCATAACTTCCTATGATAAAAGAATGAAACATGAATTATAACATACAGATAGTTCTAACTTCTAGAAATAGAAAATACTAATAATAGAATATACTAAAAATAAAATCTTCCAAAAAAATCAATATGTTGCATAACCTAGGCAATAATCAAGTAAAATTCTTTCGCCTTGTTAAGGAAGAATGTAAACATCAAATTCTTGAATTAAATGTTCATTGAATCCAACATGCCTTGATGAATCTTATGAATCAAGTATGAAATTGATAGTCACAGTGTACCTAGACCAAATAGATATAGTATAATTTCAAAAAAAAAAAAAAAAAGGATAACCGTTTTACTTATTTCAACAAATCGTGGATTAGAAATGTCATCAACAAAAAACATACAATAAAACACTTCACTTTTTGAATATCTTTTATATGCACCTCCATAACCAATACAAAAGGTAAAAAAATAATGGAATCAATTTTCACTCATAATGTAATCCTAATATTGGAAAATTTTGTAGTCATTTCATAATTATTTCTAATACTAGTTGTTGCTCTTTCATAAATAGTTTTAATAATTTTAATATATCTTTAACATGCATATTTCTTTTTCAATGTGCATAAAATTAATTCTCATGGAGTATGATAGTGTCTTCTTAAGATAAAAAAAATTATATGAAGATCATTTCTTTATTTTCAACATTTTTTCATTAATGGTCTTAAAAGAAATTTACTTTCATGGTTATTTCTTAAAACCAATGTAATTTTGCTTAGTATACATTCCATTACTCCAATAACTTATTGTATGATTAAAAAATTTAATTCCTTTACAACTGCCAAGATCTTAGTCATCTACTTTCTCTTGAATATAGATAACAAAATATCTCCTCCAATCATTTGGAGTCCACTTAGTTTTTAAATTTCATTGAAATATGATTAACAAAACTAATTTTGTATCCCATAACTCTCAAAGTATCAATAGATATCTCATCAAAATCTATAACTTTACCTTGATGATTTTTTTTAGAGCTAACTCTACTCCTCTTTTTTTATTAAGTCTATAATATAACCCATTATTTTATTAATTTTAAGCTTCTAAAATAATTTCTTCTGCAAAGCACTAATTAAACAACTAAAGTACTATTTTTATCCTACCTAGGTCATATTCAACTAAACCATATAATCTTTAGTTTTAATCCAACTCTAACATGACCGAAGTCCTCATCTCTCTTATCTTAGTTATTTAATATGCCTTCTATTCTCCTTTTTAAGTTTTAAGCAAACTAAGAAAATCATAGAGGTTATAGCTTGTACATTGCTTACTAAGTTTCTTGCAAAACTTCTTTCTTACAATTATTATAAACTTTGATGGTATTTATCTTTTGCTACTCTTTTAAAAGCACAATATTTTCGCTTAGTAATCATTTATATATCCTCCCTCCACCAACAAATGTCCTTGCAAATGCATATTTCTTGACTCTCATAAATTTCTAAGAACTTTTTAGTCAAAAAATTATTTAAGTTTGAAGCAAACGAAAAAATTAGTAGAAATATCAGACCACTTTATCCAACCAATTAAACAATGATGATGATGATCTTAACCAAAAGAAACCAACATTGTTGCAGAACAAAACGTGATTATGTACTAAATAACCCCAGAATAATAAATCTCCACAATCAGATCGGAGCCAAAAAAATTGACCATCATTAGCGAAATCCGTCGTGATAAAATTGTCCGCTACACATCCTTTAAGCAAAGGAAAATAACAAGCAGGAAAAAATCTCATCTCCCCGCGTCACAACCCAATCTACAAGAAACTAAAAGTACATTATACAGAATTGTGGAAACTGAAGTATTGAAACATTTAAGTAGGAGTTTATGTGAAAAGAAAAAGTCTAGCAGCAGTAATCATAAATTCAAATCCAGACAAGTTTTCACAATTAAAGAAATTCTTGAAAACATATAATCAATATCCTGCACTCAGGCACAGAAACTAAATTCAAAGCGATTCTGATCATCAGTAGAAAATAATAATAATAATAATAATAATAATAATAACAATAAACAAAGTCTGTTGCACCAATTCTCGCATTTTTTTCCAGGAAATCCCAATTAGCAGTAAGAATTAATGCAAATACAGTGAAGGATTGAAGAGAATGCACCTTTGGGTCGGTCGCTGAAACTTTAAACGCAGCTCTCAACAATTTCCGAGAATGCTGAGGTGGGCAGAGGATTCTGAGAACAGGGAAATAGTTCTTACTTGCGTCGTGATGGAGCGGGAGAGCTGAGGTAAGAATTTGTGGGGATTTTGAGGTGGTCCAACTAACTTGCATGAGAGGCACAGGGGAGAGGGAGAAAGAATGGGCAGCGACAGCGGCAGCCATGAGCATACCTCCCAAACCTTCTCCAGAACGTTCCCCGAAGATGCCGGGTTTTTCCTTTGCCGATCCGCACATTTTATAATTTATCGTCACACGGGCTGCACATGGGCTGGGCTTTTAATCCGCTGAGCCGCCAGATTAGAAAATGGGTCAGATGGGTCAGATGGGTCAGATGGGTCAGATTATTATTCCGATCCAACAAGGAGCTCTAGTAGATAGAGAAAAAAGGAAATTTAAAAACTAAAATTCTGATTTGTGAGTTGTTCGTGAATTACATATGAAGATTGGAGTGTAAGAAAAGAGAGGAAAAAACAAGAGATTGAGAGAGAGGAATGTATTATAATAAATAGTAAAATGTCTTGTCTGTCAGTTAATAAAATGATTTCTCTATTTATATGGAAGATGATATCATGTGTGATATTATACTTTTTTCACATGCTTTAATGGATGTTTTATAGGGTATTGTAGGTATTTTACACATGAGAGTCTATTGCTTAGTTGTCCTATGAGTCGGTTGGTTGGGTTAGCATTGTTTCGACCAGTAAGCCTGGTTCGAACGGCTAGACCAAGTTATGTAGCTGAAGACTCGTCTTGATTAACTTCAGGTAGACATAACTAACCAAGGGTCCGTTTGACGTAGCTTATTTGGTGCGGTGGCGTTTTGAAAACACACCTGACCTGTTTGGTAAACTGTATTTTGACAGCTTATGCGTTTTTAAAACGCTGAAAACAGCGTTTTCACACAGCAACTATCTAGGCGCGGTGGCAGCTTTCTGGTAGCGGTCTTACTTTTCAAAAAAAAATAAAAATTTGTAATAGCATCCGCACCTCGCTTATCAGCAGATTATTCAATAAGCTGCAGCTGCCCCAAACAGACCCTCACTCTCTTATGCATATCAAAGGCAATACTTTGGCAATACCTAGGATGGTTTTCCTTTTGCTACTTTGGCCGTGAGCCTTGTTCGGTGGGCATTGCCCCTGTGGTTTTCCGGCTTTGCCCTCTACCCGTGAGATTAGCAGATGGAGGTCTTCTTCTTCTTTGTCCTTCACCTATGGGTTCGCGTTGTGTTGGATTCCTCCTTGTCGTCTGTAGCCTTGAGCTTCTTATATGGGGTTTGGTTTGATTTGTTATGGCTCCTACCCGCGAGCTAGTTGGAGCTTGGTTGTGCGTTTTTGGTCTTACCATTGACCCTCTACTCTTTTTTTTTTGGCCCTGTTTATTGCCTTGGTCAAGAGCCTTGGTAGATGTCTCATTTTCTATTGACCCCGACCGTGAGCATTTATGTGGCTTTATTGGAAGGTTCTATGTTTATTTGATACATGAAACTATTGAGTAATTTGGGAGTTGAAAAATCTTAATTTTGGCATAAGTTTGGAGGTGTTGATGGTAGTCTTCCCCGGGTCACTTTACTTTTGTTCAATTCATGGAATTTTGAGGATTTTCAAGTTCTATTTGGGAGAACATTTGGTTGAATTAAATTGAGCCCATGGAAGATACTTTTGGAGGATTGACACTGATGTAGGGGAGGTCATTTGTGGGTGATTGTCGTGTCGGTTCGGGACCGTTTCAACTCGTTCGAAACAGGATTTGGAAAGGACACCCTCCTTGGGTTGATCCAATTCTAATAGAGCGAGAAAATGAGATCCTTCTGGATTGATTCAAGGAACTTGGGCCATAACTTCTCAGGTTTTTTCGTTACGAGTTTTGAGGGTCGATTCATCCTCCGTCTTTTCGGTGTTTTAGGTGGATCGGTGCCTCCTCTCTCTTATCTCACTTTTGTTCTTTTTTTCCTTGCTTCTTGGTTCAGTTTTTGATGTTTATGTCTGATACATAAGTGTCCACATATAGTCTTTTGTTATACGTGAAACAATCAAGCAAGGTCGGTTTTGTTTTGGGTTTTAGGGCGGTGATGACAAAGACATACCAGAGATAGAGCAGAATGATATGTCATCCTACGACATCGGGATCCGATTCAGGAACCCATCAGGATCCGATTCAGGAACCCGGTCAGCTGTAGGATGACAGTATCATTCACCGACACAATGCTAGCGAGAGTTGACCCGAACCTTCTTAGGTTGTTGGTGGCTCTACGCCCGACAATGTGATCGACTCGTGGACAACTACTTTTCAAAATTGATAAAAAACAAATTTGATAAGAACAGATACACCTTTTTTCTAAAACAAAAATGTATTTTTTCGCTAAAAATAAAATTGATACAACCCACTTTTTGCATGTTTGAAACCTATGTGCATGCTGAAAATATAAATTTTAAATACATTTTAAACATCGGTTGTCCCCTTGTTGATCACCTGTTTAGGCTAAGGAGTACCCTCCTGAGTTAGGTTCGATAAGACACCCTTCTAGTTGAGTGACGGACTTTATACATCCGGGTGACCAAGTAGCCTTCGACGACCCTCGAGTACTAATATATAGTTGAGCCTAGCCCCGACCCGAGTGCTTGCGGTCCCACTCTTTTCGGACTTTTTCATATATTTTTCTTGGAATTTTTGGACAAAGCACTTGTGGTCTTTTTTCGGGGTTTTCCCGTATTTTCTACGATTTTAATCGATTTGTCGATTCGTCGATTTTCTCGCATTTCTCTTGTCGTGAGTCTTTCGACTATCATTCTAGAGATTTCTAGACGATGTTTCTTTGTTTTAGGTTATATAAAGCATTTCAGCCTGTTTCCTCAAGTTTTGTTGTTTGTACCTGTTGCATCAATTACACCTAAGGAACAGCGGACCTCCCAGGTATACATGTTTGTTTTATGTTTACAGCATGTTACTTTCTTTCTTGCGTTTACAGCATGTTACTTTCTTGCAAATCACCGACCTGCTGTATTTTTTTTTACTTCTCCCTTACCCCGCATGTTGTAATGTTTTTCTACTGCATACTTCTACTTCTTGTCCTGTGCTACATATTACTGTTATGCTATACACTATACAACTTCAACATGTTCCCTATAAAATGTTTAAAGAACTACAATCATAGAGCCACTTGATTTGACATCAACTTGATTTGTTGATTTGACATCATAACCTGACACCCTAGAAAACTTAAACTCATCACAACAAGGAACTTGGAGCTCGCGCGGTGGGCAGCACAGTCATCTTCACTAGCAGAATATGTCTTCCCCAGCTAAACTATTCCTTTCCTAGAAATTAAAACAACAATCCGTAGGATTTCGAGGTGGTTTGCCTAACGCAACATAAATCCTCAACTTTTCGTTAGCCATTTGTACAGTTCTACTGTGCAATCTAACTTCCTATACGGGCAAAATTTAAATTAAATCACATTGGGCCAAATTTAAATTAAATCAAACCAATCAATACTAAAAATTTTAAATCAACAACTAAACATGATTGGAGTTTGCTTTAGAGCCAATTGGGTCAATTAGGCCATTTGACCCAATTTGAACCAATTATGTCAAATTGAATCAATTCAAATTAAATTCAAATCAAATTGAACATTCTTAAAATTTTAAAATCACTAATTGACTTTAATTGAACTCAATTAGAACACAGCCTAATTAGGTAAATTGGGTCACTTGACCAAATTGAACTAAATTATACCAAAATCAAGTTAAATTCAAAATAAATTAAATTGATAATTACCAATAGTTCAAAATAATTAACTAAAGTTGTCTCAACACTCTGTTGAGGCTAATTTGGCCAATTGGGCCACTAGACCTATCAAAACCAAATTGACCCAAATAAGTCACATTGAGCCAAACCCAACTAAATCAAATGTAACACCAACCAAACCTGGTTAGTCATTCTTTAAGGTCCTTAGTAGTCTATTCCTAGTTTCCCAACCCTAGGTGGGCTTGATTTATGTTGAACCAAACCAAAATAAACAACCAAATATGCCCATAACACCAAAATAACCTAATCCAACATTTTTTCTTTGTCTTGGGCATACACTAAGGACCATATTTAGCTAACCCAAGTTAAAACAAGCTATCTCATATGACAAAATACCTTATGGGTCTAAATCAACCTAAGTCAACTTTTGGTTCACCCTCCATGGCTTGCACTTCACCTCACTGCCCCAAAAGCTCATAGTCATTAGGATATCCCCACTTGTGCAATCCCCAGCCATTTCCAACTCTTAGCTTTGCACATGCAAGTCTCCATGGTTGAACCAAGCCAAATCAAGATCTTGGTTCATACGAGGAGCTCAAGGAAGTCGTTGGTTTCTCAAAACACTCACAATAATTCCAGGAGCAGTTCCCAAGAAATTTCACACCAAAACACTCACTCCAAACCCAAATTACATGAAGGGGCATCCCCCCTTTAAGAAAATTTTAGAGACTTTGTTGTAAGCTTCTCCAAGTTTGATTAAACGTTGGAAGGAGCTTAGGGAAGGGTCTAAGGAGCATGCTCAAATTAAAAATTATAAAAGAAGAGCTCAAAACTGAGTATGCAATCTTCCACTTCTATGCTCCCACCAGATGCACTGTGAAAGGAATATTAAAACTAGGCTCATCCCATAATTAGATATGTTAAAAATATGTTAAAAACTTCATTTAATTTTGTTCTAGTGAGTTAGATTTGAATCAAACCCATTAGATCAAGTAGATCATGTAAGAAAAAATGGAGGGATACAATTTTTTTTTTTTGGCTAAAGTAAAAGATATAATTAGGACCATATATTATGTATTTAAGATGGATTATGTTGATTAATAAAGTAGAAACTACACATAGATTCCCTACATTTAAAACAACAACCAACTAGAGCTTGATATTTGTAAAGTATAGGTGAGCTAGCTATTTAGATGGATAAGTGGATCAATTGTATTTCTGTCAATATGAGAACAACACTAAACTTATATAAACATGAAAATAAAACTGAACTTAAATGGAGATAGGGCGGCAAGAAGGGTGGTGACCTCAACATTTAAGGTGAAAAAGTTCATGCACACAGCTCGTGGGGAAATGAATGTGCGGGAAGAGAATGGGGAGAGTGGAAGACAGAGGTGAGAGAGGAATTGGATGAAGTGAGAAGCGAAAAAATACTTTGATCACTTGACTCGTGATCATAATAGCAATCAAATAAGAGAAGGAAAAAAAGTGGGAACTAGAGCATCCAAGCTCTATTAATCAAGTATTTTTGATTGATCCCGAGTATATATATCACATTTTTCTTAGGATAAAAATAGAATTCCTCCATTGATTCTCTGATGTTTCCAATAATGTTCTGATAATATTTCGGTTTTTCCGCCACAATAACTTTCACATGATTTCTTATCATGTACATGATTTGCTCTCAACTCTTGAGTCCTACTGTAAAAGATCAACATTTATTTCATTTCAAGCATTTATTTTGTTGGTTGTAGAAAATTGGATCCCTTTTACAATGCTCACCCTAGATAAGAATGACTTACAATTTTAAAAAAATCTGCTTATGTATGGTAAAACCAGCAAGTATTCTTCTAAAATATCTTTGCAAAACTAGCTGCCTGTCAAATTAAAGAATGGTGGAACAATTTTTTTCTCAGCTATAGATTATAGAAATTTGGTAGAGTACAAGTTCACTCAATGAAATCCTGCAAAACAGACATTTGAAGCAGATTTTTTCTTCTGCAAAACAGACTTGAGGTTTTCTTGTAGATGTTAGAGAGGAATTATTTGTTCTGAAGAAACCAGATGTTGTTTTATGAGTTTCCCCTCTTAATATTTAGGAGATTTTGGGGAACAGGGATCAGGTTTATTTCCCAATTTTCATGGCTTATTATCTAATAGAATAATCTATACCTCTTACTTAAAATTTGATATTTTTTTGGAAGGTTCAAGACATAAAATTTAAGTTGAATGGAGTTGAATCAAATGAATGATGTCATAAATATTAAAATTATTCAATATGATATAAATGATTTAATAATAATACAATAAAAGTATTTTCACCACTTTCATATACAATATTGCAATGCATAAAACATCATTTCAGAATTTTTTAATTATAATATTAAATCAAAATTTTAGAACATAATATTTCAATTATTTATTATTTTTAATTTAAACTATTTAATTTTAACTGTTTGATTGAAATCAAAAGTTTAAAAATTGATCAATATTAAAATTAGTTTTGTTCTTAAAAAAGTTGTCTGTTTCACTGATTAACCAGTTCAATAATCAATTCTCATTCATTCTGATCGACTTTATGCAATGTAAAAGTGATTTTAGACTTGAACTGAACCGGTCCGAGGACGGGTTCTAATTGAAGTGAATTTTCTAAATCATGATTTTTTTCTCGAAACAAGTTGGACCTTGTCTTTATAGAAGAGCCTTGATGGTATATTCATATTTGAGGGGTGTTCGGTGGCATGCTTATCGTCGGATTTAGCCATGGATTTAAATTAAAATCTAGCCAACACCAAAAGAATGAAAAAATAAATCCAACACTTCATTACATTGAATTTCATCACGTTCCGTCGCTTTTTTCTCGCGTTATCGTCACTTATTCGACGTAAATTTCTATTTAATAAATCCGATCGCGAGACAGATTTATCCCTTCGTACACAGCGCAAGCTCCTCCCGTCATTTGTGTGATCCGGAATTATCAAATTACATAAATCCTATTAAACATAAATCTGATTTGAAGCCAAACCCTGCCTTTAGGTAATTGAGGATTAGACTTATGAAGCTCAAAGAATCATTTCGGAATGTTCTTCTAATTTTGTAAATATAAAAAATTAGAAAACAAAAAAGAAAACAATCTAATGCAAGAATTTCATATTTCAAAAGTTTGGAATTAGATTATTTTCTCACACTGATTTTTAAAATCAAAGAAATTGATAACTTAGATTCAAAATCGAGTAAAAAATAATGGCCACTTTAGTTTGAGGAGATGAAGATTTATATACATACCATTCAATTCCTGTGCATTTACATTTATAACACCCAAATTTCAATTTTTACAACTATGCCACCTTACCCCCTGCATGAAAAGGTGTATTTCATTTTAAAAGTTAAAAATCGCGCGCGCGCACACACACACATACACACACACACACACATACATACATACATACATACATACATACATACATACATACATACATACATATACCTACTCGTCGTTTGTAAGACCCCTCTGGTCTAGGGTTCGATTTATTAGGCGCATTAGTGGTGATCAGGGCTAGTATCATAGCCTTCGGCCATTCCTTAAAAAAAAAAAAAAAAAAACTACCGCCTTTAAGTATATTTATAATTTCTAATGATTACTAGCAATCAATCTTTCAACAAAATAAAGGCAAAAGGACCCTCTTAAGTGCTGTTTTTCATGCATCATACAAGCTATTCACCTTCACTAACTCATTTAAAAAGCGCTTGTTAATAATTATATAACCCGCAAGGCCAAATTAGTCAATCATAGAAAGCTAAAGCCTTTATCATAACGTCTTTGAGAACTTTTGAAATCATACCATCCAATCTCATTTGGACGGGCTGATTCAGACAAAAGAAGGTATTATTCTCTATGTTTTCCACATGGTCTGATAAAAATTGAATTGATTTAACCAAATTATTTAAATATAATTTACTTTAAGGAATAGTGAGTCCAATGCAAAATTCACTCCATCGAAAGTTCATACACAAGAATTTTAATGAATGTGATAAACTGATGTTGAAAACTGGTTCAAATGAAAGTATTTTTCAATCAGAGGATTTAGTAGAAAACACGGTAAAATCCCAGTCCCTAATTAACTTGTTTATTATGAAAGAGAAATAATATTAATTCAAATTAGTATCGTAATAAGATGATAAATAGAATGAACAATTAAGAAATAAATAAGAAAAACAAACACTTAAAGCACATATTATTAAACAATTATAATGATTTAAAGATAAAGTCTTGAATTTGAATAAATTTTAAGTATATATATATATTAAACAAGCTGGCTCACGAGCTAACGAGTCTATTTAGAGCTGGCTTGAGCTCGTTTACTTAGCTCATCGAGCCCAACTCACAAGTAATTTACCGAGCCGAGCCATAACATGCTCATGAGCCTGCTTGGCTCAACTGCTCGGTTACAACCCTATTGCTGAATATCACGAGTTTGAATTATTTTCCTATTAACAAGATAATCATTCTAACCCACACCAAACTGATCTTAATAATAATAACAAAAATCTCAAAGAAGTGCAATGCCATACAAAAACAAATAATTCAGTTCAAAATGATAGCTGGAATGATCAGATCCAGCATGATGTTTGATCTATGATCTCATTATATCAGTAACGGGTCAATTTTTTTATGCATTAGATTAATGTCCAATCCATTAATAGGCCTTTCAAGTTAGTCCCCTCGGCTCAAAAGTGCCTACATGATGATTATAGCTCAAGAGGAATTGCTCAAAAATTGACTCCTTCCCCATATAATATACTTTACTGTCACGGGTTAAAATCATTCCCAAGATCAGCAAGATCTCAAATTTCATGACCCAATTTGTTATTTCCAGAGTTGCTCAGGTTTGATCCCATTTGAGGAAATGAAATGTTTTTATTGGTGTCGAGTAAAGTGATAATACCCTTATATTCATCTTCATCTTCAAAGAATCATTTAAGAAAAAAAAAATCCAACCTCTGTTGATTTAAATTCAAGCTTGAGCTTCAAGTGAGTTAATGATTTAGAGACAAAGTAGACTCGATCAAACTTAAAATTTCTCAGTTTTGATACAATAGAAGGGATGTAGATCTTACCGGAGCAATTTGAATCATAGCTGTGCTCTTTGTTTAAGTTGACTGCGGGAAAAACAATTGGTTAGCCAATATTTTTTTGTTGATCAAAATCATGAACATTCTGATAACTCTACATTTTGACTACAAGTCCTATGCAATCTATCTTGGATTATCATGAATCAAATCCCACTGGTTATAGGAAAGCATTATTTTTTACTATGCAGGTTAGGAAAAATTGCTCTTAAAAATTAGGAAATTTGGATTTATCTCACAAGAACACCAAAGCCAAGCTGGCCAGATATCAATCGATTAGGTTACTACAAAAGATAATTGTTTTACAAGCAGAAGAAAAAAAATTGATTGTGGTGCTCATCTTATTCATATATCGTATTCAGATGCAATACAAATTTCTTGATTTCTGAAACTAATTATTAGGTGACACCCAGCATTTCTGGCACGGAAATCAAAAGGAAAAAAAAAACCTTAATACATGAACGAAATAAAGCAAAAAACTTCTAACCTTCATCGCCTCAGAACACTGCAACATCTCAAAGTAGCTTGCAGAGTTTCAAATTCATATCTAGTTTGAGATTATTCCTCCTCACCGACGATGGCAGCATCACTGGTATCGGTGGAAGGCAATTCATGTCGACACAAGGGACAAGTATTCCGCATTATCAGCCAAGGCACAATGCAACACTCATGGTAATGGTGCAAGCATGGAAGCCGCTTCACCTCCTCCGAAAGAGATATCTCATCTTTGCAGACCGCGCAATTGGTATTCTTCTCAGCAACATCTTCCACCGTTAACAGTACAGAAGGGAGGTTTTCAACCACGGATTTTGCCGCAGGTCGTCCGCCCTTCATCCATTCCGATCCGCCATGACCACCTAATTGTTCGAACGAAAGCTCGTATTCAGAAGCATAGGCAAAACCCTCCCGGTCTTCAACGAAGACAGAATCGTCGTCGGTCCTGTTCAGGGAGAAAAGAAGAACCTCCCACTCGACGTTCCGTTCGGAATCTTCTCCTTCCTCTGTATTAGGGTCAGGACTCCCGACCTCGATCCGTTCCGAGACATCCTCCCACTCGAACTCCTCGACTGGATCATTCAAATGAATCCATTTAAGGAATAAGTGGGGCTTCAGTGAGCTTTGTCTGTCAACTGGACCTTAGTGTATCGCCGATTTGATGGATCCAAATTATGTCGATTGATAAGCATAGTTTGATTATTGTCCATCAATCTCCACTAAGGAGGTTATGTCAATAGGGTGAATCTAGGTCATTGGGCAGAGGATAAATTACCAAAATATGATGCATATCCTTCCTTTAGACTAGAGGGTCCTAGTGGGCAATTGTTGTATTCTCCTGATTGTATTGGGGGAGACAGATGACAGATTCTAGTATGACAGTCTTGTGAACCAGCGTCTCCCTTGGATTGGCTTCATCATTATGGCATGCTTGGATGAATCTTCGCCTGTCGTCTGAATGAGTCGCTCAAGCTAAAAACACTTCAACTGTTATTGTGGTTTCAATAGTCTCGGGTTGCTATGTTTGATCAGATATATAGTTTGTCAATTTTTCTTTTTGTGGGCCCACTCAAGTTTATGATTTTTCTTTCGGATCATTATATCCGAGGGGGGGGGGGGGGGGGGGGGGGCCCTTTGGGTTTCTAAATTATGTAATCATTTATTCATGAAATGATCCCCTGATTATAAACAAAGGGGTACAACATATGTAGTTACATTTAAGCCCTTATTTAAGTAGAGATTGTACAATTTATTTTAGGTAATTTTCCTCATTGGACCAAGGGTCTTACTACTCTCAAGCTCGGCCCATTGGACTAAGTGGGTCTTTGGTGAGCTTGGTCGGTCAGCTGGAACTGACTGTATCATTGATATGATGGATCTAAATTTTGTCGATTGATAGCCATAGTCCGGTCATGAACCCTCAATCTTCACCAATGAACTTATGTCGATAGGGTGAATCTAGGCCATCAGACAAAAGATAAATTATTGTAATCCAATGTGTATCCTTCCCTCAAACGAGAGGAACCTAATGGAATGGGTGAGACATGTTACCCGATTTATTCTCTTGATTGTATTAGGGGAGATATTTGACAAATTTTAGTATGACAGTCTTGGGAACCAACTTCTCCCTCGAATTGGCTTCATCATGATGGCATGCTTGGATGACTCCTCGCCTGTCATCTGATTGAGTCAGTCTGGCTAATAGTACTTTGACCGTTCTTGTGATTTCAACAGTAGCATGTTCGCTCTCAGATTGAATATATTTTATCAATCCATCCTGTCGTGGGCCCTCTTTAGTTTATTACGTTTCTTTCGTATCGTTATATGAGAGAGGGAGCATAATAATGAACAGTAGAATGAGAGAATTGTGCAACTTTTTATTCATGAAATGATCCTCTAATTATAGATAGAGGCTACAACATATGTAGTTATATTTATGCCCCTATTTAAGTAGGGATTTTACAAGTTATTATAGAAAATTTACCCCGGTGAGCCCAGAGTCTTACTTCTATAAGGCTCGGCTCATTGGACTGATTGGGGCTTCAGTGAGCATGGTCAGTTAACTGGACTTGATTGTATTGCTGATTTGATTTATCCAAATTTTGTCGATCGACATGCTTAGTCCAGTCTACCCTCAATCTCCAGCAAGGAGCTTGTGTCAATAGGGTGAATCTAGGCCATCAGGTGGAGGGTAAATTATCGTTATCTGACGCATAGCCTTCCATTAGATGAGAAGAACTTGGTGGGATGGTTGAGATCAATTGTATTCTTTTGGTCATATTGAGGGAGATGGTTGACAAATTCCGGTATGACAGTCTTGGAAACCAGGTTCTCCTTCGAATTGGTTATGTCATGATGGCATGCTTGGATGACTCTTTGCTTTTTGTTTGAATGAGTTGCTCAAACTGGTAGTACTTCAACCATTCTTGTGATTTCAGCAGTCATCAGTTCGCCATTTTTGATCAGATATCTAATTTGTTGATCCGCTTTTTTGTGGGACCCATTGAGTTTATGACTTTTCTGTTAGACAGTTAGATTTGAGAGAGAGAGAGAGTGAGAGAGAGAACATAATAATGAACAATATAATGAGGAAAATGTGTAACTTTTTATTCAAGAAATGATCACCTAATTATAGACAAGGGTACAACATATGTAGTTATATTTATACTCTTATTTAAGTAGGGACCCTATAAGTTATTCTAGCTAATTTGCCCAGGTGGGCCCAAGGTCGGCTTGGCCCGTTGGATTGAGTGGGGCATCGGTGAGCTTGGTCGGTCAACTGGACTTGACTGTATCGCTGATTTGCTGGATCAAAATTTTTCGATCGATAAGTATAGTCCGGTCATTGACCCTCAATCTTCACCAAGGAGCTTATGTTGAGAGGGTGAATCTAGGTCATCGGGCATAAGGAGAATTACCATAATATGACGTGCAACCTTCCCTTAGACGAGAGAATCTTGGTGAGATGTTTGAGAACTGTTGTATTTTTCTGATGGTATTGGGGGAGACGGTTGACAGACTCTGGTATGATATTCTTGGGAGCTAGCTTCTCCCTTGGATTGACTTCATCATGATGGCATGCTTGGATGACTCTTCGTCTGTCATATGAATGAGTCATTCGAGATGATAATACTTCAATCATTCTTGTGATTTCAAATGTCTCGGGTTCGCTATGTTTGATCGAACATCTAGTTTGACGATCCGTCTTCTTGTGAGTTCATGATTTTTCTTTCGTACCGTTAGATCTGAGAGAGAGAAAGAGAGCATAATAATAAACAATAGAATGAGGGAATTGTCTTACATTTTATTCATGAAATGATCCCCTAATTATAAACAAAGGAGATACAACATATTTAGTTGCAATTATGCCCTTATTTAAGTGGTTATCGTACATGTTTTTCTAAGTAAATTGCCTGGTGGACCCAGGGTCTTACTACTCTCAGGCTGGACCCGTTGTACTAAGTGGGAGTTCGGTAAGCTTGGCCGATCAAATGGATCTGACAGTATTGTCCATCTGATGGATTCAAATTTTGTTGATAGATAAGCATAGTCCAGTTGTTGACCCTCAATCTCCACCAAGGAGCTTATGTCGATAGGGTGAATCTAGAACATCAGGCATAGGGAACATTATCATAATGTGATGAGCATCCTTCTTTTAGACGAGAGGATCCTGGTGAGATGTTTGAGACCTATTGTATTCTGTTTATTGTTTTCGGGAGATGGTTGATAGCTTTCAGTATGAGAGTCTTGGGAACAAGCTTCTCACTTGGATTGGCTTTATGATGACGACATGCTTGTATGACTTTTCGCTTGTCATCTGAATGAGTCGCTCGCTCGAGCTAATAGTACTTCAATCGTACTTGTGATTTCAACAATCTCGGGTTCAGTATGTTTGATCGGATATCGGGTTTGTTGATTTGTCTTTCTGTGGGCCCTCTTAATTTTATGACTTTTCTTTGGGATTGTTAGATTTGAGAGAGAGAGAGAGAGAGAGAGAGAGAGCATAATAATGAACAGTAGAAATAGGAAATTGTCTAACATTTTATTCATGAAGTAATCCCCTAATTATAAATAAAGGGGATACAACATATGTAGTTACATTTATGCCCCCATATAAGTAGGGATTGCACAAGTTATTCTATGTAATTTGCCTCAGTGGGGCCAGGGTTTTAATACTCTTAGGCTCGACTCATTGAACTGTCAGTCAATTAGACCTAACCGTATCGTCAATCTGATGGATTCAAATTTTGTCGATCGATAGACATAGTCCCAGTCGTCAACCCTCAATCTCCACCAAGGAGCTTATGTCGATAGGGTGAATCTAGGCTACCAAGCAGAGGGTAAATTACCGTAATCTGACGTGTAGCATTCCCTTAGACAAGAAGATCCAGGTGGGATGGTTGACAAGAAGATCCAGGTGGGATGGTTGAAACCTGTTACCTGTTGTGTTCACTTGATGTTATTGGGGGAGATAATTGACAGATTACAGTACGACAGCTTTGAGAACTAGCTTCTCCCTCATTTTGGCTTCATCATGATGGCATGCTTGGATGATTCTTTGCCTGTCATTTGAATGAGTCACTCAGGCTGATAGTACTTCGACCATTCTCATGGCTTCAACAATTTCGGGTTTATTATGTCTGATCAGATATCTAATTTGGTATTTTGTCTTTTGCTGAGCCCATTGAGCTTATGACTTTTCTCGAGATTCATGATGACATAATTTTTATGCACATGCAGAGTGTGCGTGTCTATATATATATATATAAGTTTATAGATGTGTGAGTGTGTGAGTGTGTTTAAATTTACTTTTCCGAGAATGAATCACCAAGGATCTAATCCTCCACCCAAAAAAAATTGCTAGAACTCAAAATTTTACCGGGAAAAATCTAAAAAAGAAAAGAAGTATGAAACATAACTCTTAATCTTTAGCGTCAAAGTTCAGCAGAGCTTTAAAAATTCTTAAATCTCCAAGCCTTCACCAATTTCAAGTGAAAAAATGAGAGTTTATTAATAATTTTAGTTAAAGTTCTCAAAACAAGCCATAGAATGCTTGATGTTTAAATATTTCGATCATGATTTAATAATATGAAAATTAAGTGAACTTAAACCCATTAGATTCTTCTCGTTGAAATGCTCATGTTGATTTTAAGCATACAATATATGCAGATTATAAAGTTTTTAACAAATGTCAAAATTAGTTTATATCATCAAGATAGTTACTTTGATTATTGAGTTTTATTAGGTATGACTCATATATCATAAATGAGACTGATGCTTGAGCGGAGCAGAGCCCATGAGCGGAGTGGAGCAGAAGGATCTATCCAATCGGGGGAGGTTCTATATGTGTGTTGGGGTTGCGGGGGCAACACCTCGCGGTTTGGTGCAGGGGTAATTTAAGTAATCACATATTGCATTATAGGGTTATATATATATGTCCTATTTGTAACCCTAGAGGAGTCTCGGATTCTGAATCTTGTATTCTGTACTCTTTTCTAAATTTTGAAAGGGAAGTCACCGCTCTACTCAGGATGTAGGCATCTTTGCCGAACCTCGTAAATCTCTGTGTGTTTTTCTAGATTTGTGTCGATTCTTATTTTTCTTCACCCTAATTTTCTCAACAAGTTTTGAGTTTTTCTTAAATTTAATTTTAAAAAATTTAATACAAAGCTTTCATCAAAATTCACGCTCAATTGAATGGATTAATAGTGACATTTTTTTTCTTATATTTTGGGGTGTCATATAAAATGATACTATTTTAAGAAAATATATTAGGAATTAATTACATGTCATATTATGATAACTATTCTAACTATTATTACTGATAATTATTAGATCATATCATGATAAACTCTTATGATAATAAGTCTGATCATTCTCTTTATAGGAGGATAATTGTCTACATTTAGGCCTATTAAAATCAACAGACCCGAGATTATTAATCCTTAGCAATAGAGCTCTGGCATTCTTCTAAATAAAACTTGATTGTCTTCATGTGAATATGTTAGCTTTGATGTGAGAGAAATGTTTTATTCTATTTTAAGGATCTAATTCTCTCTTTTAACGCACTTTATAGAGAACTAATTGTATACATCACAACTGTCAGCACAGATCTCAAAACAATCAGATGATCTATTTGACGGTCGGACAACCAAGGCGTCATACCATACACTATTGCACGGTCGGGAATCAGCAATCTGCATCAAGAGATTCAAGCAGCATGTCACACAGACAGTCTCAGCCAACCGGGGCACAAGCAGGAATTCTTGATCGCGACTGATCGATCGATCCGGCTTTACTATGGCGGATGAAATCTGCATCCGACCAAGTGCATCGCCCGAACAATCCATAGCTCGGTTGACACTTAGTTGATCGCTTCGGTCAGCTGAATTCAAGCAAGTCGGTCAACTAATTACCGTCATGCTAAAATTCAAATTGTAATACAGATATGCTATAAAGTTCATATAACTAATGAGAATATTTTTGTATTAATAGTAGGTTTCATAATTATTCCCTCCTTTCTGTATTTGTTTCATAATTTTTCTCTCCTTTCTGTATTTGTACAAAACACACCTCTATAAATAAGAGAAAAAATATTAATAAAGAGACCTTTCACTGACTTTCCCACACCCAACTCAGGAATCACAGTCTCCTAACGAGGAAATTTCAACACCTGCCCCTCAGGGTCCTTAAATGAGTCGACTTGATAAGCTAGCACAAATTCAATCCTCGACTTTCTTTGCAGTAGCTGAAGGCCCGTAGCCCATCTTCGCCATAATCTTGGGGCCTACATAGAGTTTCCTTAGATCGCCGATCATGATTCGAATCGGCTGACCAGAGAAAAATAACAACAACGGATGCAATACTAAACATATGACTCTATTAGTATCATTAAATTGATTATTAAATTGACTTTCTTGATTTGAGTATCATTAAATACTAAAAATTCCCCAGACCTTATCATAGTTGTCACTTCCAAGGAGCGAAAAAATTCAGGTAACTAATATGTATACACCACAACTGTCAGCACAAATCTCAAAACATTCGTACGACCCATATGGCGGTCAGACAACGAAGGCGTCTTACCATTCTTCATTGCAGTTGATCGATCAACCTACCTTTATCGTAACAGATGAAATTTACATTCGATCAAGTGCCTTGACCGACCAACCCATTGCTCAGTCACCACTCAGCTGGTCGTTTCAGTAGGTTGAATTCAAACAAGCCTGTCAATCGATTACCGCCATGCTAAAATTTAAACTGTAATACAGATATCGTATAAAATCTATATGAATAATGAAAATATCCATTGTACTAATAATAGTTTTCATAATGATTCCCTCATTGTTGTATTTGTACAAAATACACCTCTATAAATAATGGGGAAAATACGAAAAAAATGAAGCGATGCAACGATCGCGTAAGGGATGCAAATAACTATGTGATAGTTATTAATAGTGGAGAAGTACTTTATCTTAGATTTTTACAAAAGAACCTAATAAAAGGGTAATTGTTGTTAGAAGTGGCCCTAATAGCTTGGAAGACCAAAGTGCTCAACTTCTGACTGATTCACTAAGGGGGAAAAGAGCAAGATGAAGATGAATAGTTCACAGAATAGCACGAAGCTTGAGTGTTCCATTTGAGCTACTTCCTATTGGAGGTAATGTTGACATAGTAAAGAGCATTTACTTACATACCACTCAATTCCAATATATTTGCATATCTAATGCCAAAATTTTACTTCTTTATAGTCATAAAATCCAAAGTTTTCATACCACATAAAAAATATCACTATTTTAACTTTTAAAAAGTGAAATACACCATTTGATACAAAATTAAAGCGACACATATGTGAAAATTTAAAGCTTAGGTGTTAGATATGTAATATAGGAATTGAATGGAATGCATGTAAATCTTCAAAAAATTTAAATTAAAATAATAATAATAAAATAAAGAATAATAGGAAAAAAAAAACTATCCAAAAATATAAAGAAACATAAAACTAACTTGTTCGCTGCGATTGCTTTCATCTTTATTTCCGACATTTTGCTAACATAACTTGCATAGACTTGTGGTAATATTTGTCATTTTCCTTTCTATTATTAAGTGTTACAAGCCTTGAAATACTAGTCTTCATGAATGCTCCAAATATCAACTCTAATATGGAATGATAAAGAAGAGGCAACAGGCGGAGGAAGATAGAAATAATTTTTGTTCAGAGGAGGAAACTTGAAATAATGGCTTCAATAATAATGTATGTGGAGACCAACAAAAATTCTTATATTCAACTCATGTCAACATAAAGTTCATACTATTCAAAGTCTATTTCTTCCAAAAGGGGCACAAAATAAAAGAAAGATGAGGGGGGGGGGGGGGGATATAACAATACATAAAATTAATTTGCTTTGTTGAACTATGCTTGTCCGGACTAAAAGGTTGCAAGCATGCATCTTAAATTGCGCAATCTTGGTCGAGCCAATTAGAATGAAAGCTGTGATGGTAGTCATCTTCCATGATACTACAAAACTTTTGAAATGTAATAGAATACACGAGTCTTTTTAGAAGCTCCTTAGCCGGCACACATACATGGTCGATGGATTTCATTTAAAGTTTTCATGATAATGATTGATAACGCTTATAATTACTTTCATGATGAAAATAAACTCAATAACTTTATAATTTTCTAAAACTCTCATAAATTCATCTAATAACTTTCCTTAAAATTTCCACAATTCTAAATAATAGTTTGAGGATTTTCAAACTCTTACAATATTTATTTTTAAAATATCAAAACAGATCTCATGCTTTTGCTATACATCAGCAACAGTCAACTCTGTCCAAATCTTGCCACAAGGTCTGAACATCCAAGTCATAAAAACTGACCAACCAATACTACAAACTAAGAGGCACATAAATAGCTATGATTTAGTGAAGTGGATGAGGTGATACAGCTCTTCTAATTCCTAGGGTAAGCCATCAAAGCATGGACAGTAATCACATCTAGTCTCTACCTCTAAAAACTTGCAATTAAACACAAACCATTGACCTCTTCTCCTTCACAGACCAATTTCCAGCACATTATCACCCAACATAAATCACCTATAAACTCAAGCCACCATCCTCCTTAGGAAAAATTATTGTGTGCAGACACCGCACACAAAATTTATGTGCGGTGTTCGATCATGACCGTCAAAAATTGAGATTGGGCCCCACTAACGATAAAAAAAATAAAAAGATGTATTTTAATGGTCCAGATCGAACACCGCATGGAAATTTACGTGCGGTATAGGTACGCAATAAGCGCTCCCTCCATTGACCTGCTTTATTTGCCTTAGGCTTACTTATTCTTTCTTCCAGTTCCAATAAAAAAAGAAATTCAAAATCCTTCAATCCCAATGCGGACATTCCAATTTTCTCTTCCATCATCTCCCAGCAGAAGAAATATTACATCAGTACTACGCACGTAAAAATAACATGCGTAGTCAATCAAAACACGCCACGACATCTCGCGCGGTAGAGCAAAAAAAAACGGCGCAGTAACACGGAGAATATTCTCTCCTGTGTTATTCATGTGTTATTGCGTGTTATTCATGTGTTATTGCGTGTTATTCATGTGTTATTGCGTGTTATTCATGTGTTATTGCGTGTTATTCATGTGTTATTGCGTGTTATTCATGTGTTATTGCGTGTTATTCATGTGTTATTGATGTGTTATTGTGTTATTATAACACCAAGAATATTTTCAGGATACAATAACACATGAATAATACACAATAACACTTGAATAACACAGGAAATATTCCCGACAGAGAAAAAAACGGCGCAGTAACACGGGGGAATATTCTCTCCCATGTTATTCTTGTGTTATTGTGTGTTATTCATGTGTTATTCATGTGTTATTGTATCCTGGGAATATTACTGCGCCGTTTTTTTTCTGCGTCGCGCGGGATATCGTGGCGTGATTTCATTGGGTACGCACGTTCCTCTACGTGCGTAGTACTGATGTAATATTTTTTCCTCCCAGCAACCACCAAACTCCATTACTTCTACAATCAAACCAAGCTAGAAACCTCTCCAAGTTTCATTAAACTCGACACCTCACATGCATACTTCCTCCAATTGATCTAAACAGTAATCTTTAAAATTTCTTTCAAACCCAAGTTGACATATCATTTTAAATTCATAGAAGCATATTATCATAATTATATCATCACATGTGCTGAATGTTGATGGTAAAAATCTACATAAAGTATATCCTCAATATTAAGAATATTATTTCTTAATTTATTTTTTTTTATTTTCTAATGTATATACAAAAATAATAATATTAACATAATACCCAATTAAATAAAGATGTAACATTTTTAATGCAGTCTATGTTTTACCCCTGCAAGGCAGTACTTGCCTCACCATTTACATTATTCAAGTAACATTTTAAAGTTTGAAAAAGAAAAAAAAAAAAAATATTTTCTACAAAATTTGTTTGAACCAAAATAATTATAATTATAACTGGCATCTGAATCCACTTCACAAGCAACTTGCTCTAAATTGTGTTACAACCTAAACTACTAAAACTTGAATCTGAATCCACTCCAATTATCAGGGCTATAGCTCCATGCAACAACCATAATATCTTTAGTACTTGATTTTTCAAAAAATTAACATACCATAATTTAAACTAAAGATAAAAATACATATATACAGTAAGAAATGCTACAGCTACAGCCCGTAAATCTTTTCTATAACTTTTTTTACCACAAACAACGAAGTTGAATATCATTAAAAAACACAACAAAACGTAATGGTAAGGAAATGATCCATCCCTCTTTTCATCTGCTGTTCTAACAAAACCCCATATGCACATAACTCTTCATACGTACTCCATTATCCCAATAATAACTTTTGAATAACATCGAAATAGAACGCGCGAAGGTTATTAGAAGGTTATTAGGGCTATATGTTCTTGAAATTAATACCTCAATAACCTTTCAATAACCCCCTAATAACCGTGAAGTGTAGGTTATTGAGAGGTTATTACGCAAGCAGCTCTGCGTGCGTAGTCCGCATGCAAATATTTTCCCATAGATTGTTCCTTTTTTTTTATCAACTTTGACCAACTTTTATTGTTTTTAAGATAAACATAAGAAAAAAAATGCATAGAGAATCACAGATATCTCTAGCTGGCTTTAGGAGCACTTCGTTGATTAATAAAATGAACTATATCGAACAATAAAAATGTGTTTTGTGCAATGCAACTTCAGATAATTGCCTAAATCAAAATCAAATAAAGTAATTGCTAACCTCAAAACTTCATCCGGCCTGCTTGTAAGCAACTCATTTGGTCTGATCAGGTTGTGAAGAGCTGGGCACCATTGGTTGGGTTGGTTGGTTGGCACCTAAATCTTTGGGTTCTGATGGTTCCATTGCCGTTGCTCTCTGTAGCATAGACTGCTCACGCATGGCTTTGATCATCTCTTTCATTTGGTTTTCCTCTTTTTCAAGCTGTAAATTAATAATCATCTCGGCATCTTTGTCGATCGGCTTGAAGTACTCCTCGATAGCAGTTTCCTTTCAAGAGAGTGAAAATTAAAATCCTTCCATAAAATAAAAACTCGGAAGAAATATAATTTTTCAAGTTTGGCACGATGATATGGTTGGAGCTGTAGTGCTGGTCCTAATATCACATGTCCAACAATACTCTCCCTCATAAGTTTGAAGCATTAGCTACTGAATTCTCCCTAAATAGATTACAACTGAACTTGGAAGAAAAAGTCAAATTAACTTGATCAACTACAACTTCCAACATGGAGCATAGATCTCAAAGCAACACAAAAAGAGAAGACAGGACTTCACTTAATTCGATTAAATCAGTGCAAATAGAAGTCAAGAATAAACTTCTAGAAAATTACCCGAGCCTCGTGTAGACACAATGGATGCTTGGACCATTCAAATTAAGGTCAATAAGATCATGAACAATCTGAACCAAGCTGAACAAGTTTTGTCAGCCCATTCATCACCATCACAAACACTATGGGCTTGTTGGGGATCACTGATGCTTTTTTTTTATTTTTTTCCTTTATTCTAGCATTTTATTTTAGAAACATATTTATTTAGTGTATTTTTTACATTTTATTAATTTTTTTGGCTTTCAAAAACAAATTAATTTATTTTTAAAAACAATCAAAATATCTAAAAATTGTTTTGAGTGTTTAAATATGTTTTAACATACCAATATATTTTATTTCAAATAAAAAAAATTAAAACTAGAAACCAAACAAAAAATCAAAAGTGATCCAAAACGGACACTATGTGCAAGCAAACTTGGTGATGATTCCCGCTGCAGTGATGTGAGCTTTGAAAATTAACGACCCCTCCTAGTGAACTCTCTGCATTTTAAATTAATTCTGTTTTGTTCAGAGAGCTTTAGAAAATCCAATTTTCATATTAGATTGTAGATAAGACACTACCCAGAGATTTCACCCTCATTTAGCGAAAGACTTTTTTATCTGGGGTTCGTTGTTTTCCATAGGCCCAAGATCCTATGATTAATTAACTCTCCAAATAATGGAAGAGCACTTTCGATTAAGGCTAGTCATTAAAAATTGAAAAGTGAACATATAGTAGCATTAGACTTAGGCCCTGTTTGAGAAAACTTTCCATTTTTTGGTTTTTGTTTCTGAAAAAAAAAACAAAAATAATGTTTGTTTATTCTTTTTTTTTATTTTTTTTAATTTTGTTTTTAAAACACAAGGTTTGTTTTCAAAACATCAAAAACGGAGAAATTGTATTTTTGTTGTTTTAAAAACATGTTTTCGGAGCATTACCTGTGTCAAGCTCCGCCGTCGTCGGCCCCTGCTGGCCTCACCTACCCGCAGCACAAGCACGCCGCAGCCGCCCCAATCGCCTGCCACCGTCGCCAACCCCATCATTCGCATCCATTGGCCCTCGCCTATCGCCACAAGTCACCCGTCGCTAGCAGTCACCGCCCGCCTGCCGCTGTCGGCTACTACCCACTGTTGTCCCCTAACATTGTCGGCCCCACTGCCCTTCGAATCTCTTTGCTAACTGCCGCTGCTCGCCGCCACCGACCCCAGCCAGTTGGCACCTCCTGACGCCAGTCACTCGCCTGCCGACAAGTATTAATTCGTGTTGATTAGAGAAAGGAAGACGTCGTACATGCTATGAATAGCAGAGCTTAATACTAGAGATCACGTGGACCTAAACGTTTTATAAAAAAGTATAATTTTTTCTTTAAAAAAAATAAAAAATAACCAAACAAGTTTTATATTTTTTATTTTTAAAAACATATAAATCATAATAGTACCAAACGCATTTTCTAAAAATAAAAAAACAAAACAGACTCAAAAACAAAAACAAAAATAGAAAACAGAAAATGACTTCAAACAGATCCTTAGGATTTAAGTTGTAGAATTCATTAATAAACTTAAAGCATATGAAGGGGGAATGAAGAAGAAACCCGATCAAGATCTCATGGTTTTTTCATCTCAGGTCGCCGTAGTTAGAAGAGGTAGTTGACTCAACCTAACAGAATCATTCATATCAGCAGTCATAGTTACGTTGTCCAAGTTTTGCTTGTAGATTTGGAGTGAATATTTGTCTACGAAGAAAAAACCATGAGATCTTGATTCACAACTCAAATGGTAGTAAGCTGTTAATCATACCCTCATGATTCACAACTCAAATGGTAGAAAGCTGTTGAGAAACATACAGATTGGGCTCATAACTATAGCATAATGGAGTCAAATGACGACAACCACTCGGTCAGAAGGCTTTGGTCATAACCCCTATTTTGTGATATTATCTGGCGGCAGAAACACGCAGAAAGAGAATTTGGGTCGTGTCCTTATTGGCATGCGATTGTTTTGATTGTGAATATAGGGTGCGTTAGTTTCAGCTATGGTTGTAGGAAAGCTGGTTTCAAAAGCTATTGTTGAAAATCTGTTATTCAGAAGCTGGTGTTTTAAAAGCAGTTTGATAGACAAAATGATTGTAATGCCCTCAGTATATCAACACAGTTTAGTTTAAACTATTTGAAAAACACAATTTTGAAAGTATTGTCTGTGGAATAAATCAAACGATAGTTTATCAAGTTAGTTTCATTCACAACTGCATAAGGTAAATTAAGGTGAATATTAACCGAATCATAAGAAATCATCAAATTATGCTGAAATTCATAATGACGAGATTGTGATAAATAATATCTGACATTTATAATTTATATAATATTCATCAAAAAGAAAAGTTTTCTTACAAAATAAAAACCTAATGGTTTATAATTTGAGCTCCAAAATACATAAACACCACCAAAACAGATACAACGACAACAACAATAAAGACAACGCTACAATTACAAAATCAAACAAAAGTAAAGTCTTCACAAGAAACTTCAACTCTTTGATATCATTTTTCATTGTATCATTAAGCGCATATATCTTTTCGTCAACTAGCTCTTCTATTGTATCGCTCAGTTCATCAACCTACTAGAAAAATTCGCAATCTCTGTCCATTAAATTTTTTGGACATCTGTAAAATTTTCTTCCTGTATTTTAACCTCTCTAAGCAGTGAAAACAGCACAATAGATTGCAATCACAAAAAACCTACCAATATTTGATCCCCTAAAAGTTGTTGAATTGATTGAGCTCATGTCCGATATTGTAATCTTGTACATAGAAACAACAACAAAAATTTACATACCTAGCACATAATTCTTATGCATTAAATAACCACCAAAATACAAACATTCATTCCCATTAAAATAAAGGGGTTCAGAGCAAAGAACGCAATATATTCCCTACTTGCAAACAAATCCAGATAAAAAATGAATAACCTTCCTTGCAAACAGAAAAAAAAGTTGTTCTCAATAGATTGAAGAAGAGGCACTTGCACATAAAATGTCCCAACCAATCTCACGATCTCCCAACCAATATATTTCAGTTTTTCGAATTCAAACGAGTTGTATGTGTCCAAATGAACCAATCTCCAGATTTGCATGAAAAATAAAGGTCGTCCAGAAGACTCAAAACAAAAACCAGCAAACAAATAATAAAACAAAACCAATATAAACAAAAAAAAAGTCAAAAACAAAGCACAACAAAAATAGGGCAACAACAACAAAGAAGCACAAGAAGAAACTCGAAAAGAAAAAAAAATGAGCTCAGTAATATCCTAATGAAAATTTATTAAAATACCTTCCAAGTATTATAAAAATTTTAGCATCAAAAACATATACAAGTATGGTTGAATTTTAATGCAATGTCTGAAGAACATCATGACTCAACCGACAACCCGACCAAAAGGGAAAGATGAATAGAAATCTAAACAAATAAGCAAATCCAAAATAAAAAGGAAAACAATTGGTATAAAGCACCTAAAATTTTCAACCAACGCAGTAGCCTCAAATCTGAAATAACAAAATCAACAGAGGAGGTATACATGGAGCAACCTTCTAGATGTGTTGCTCAGGGGGTATTCTAGGAAAGTACGTCGTCTTCGGAAGTCTTATATGAATTGAAACAGAAACCTTCGACATGGTTAGGAAGATTTAGTCAAGCAAATAGAAGAGTTTAGGATGCAGAAGAGCAAAAGTGATCATACTGTATTCTACAAGCAATTTGCTTGTAGGATCATTCTATTTGTGGTGTATGTTGATGATATTATTATTATTGGAAGTGATGTGCAGAGAATCTTATTATTGAAATTGTTTCTTTAAAACCCGTTCCAATATTAAATATCTGGATTCCTTGAAGAACATCTCAGGGATTGAGCTATCAAGGAGCAAGAAGAGCATCCTTTTATCTCAACCAAAGTATGTTTTGCATTTATTAGCAAAACTGGGAAAATTAAGGATCAAACCATGCAGTACTCCAATGTTTCTTATTAAATAACTTAATAAGGATGAAGAGCCTTCTAATGATCCTAAACAATACAAGAAGTTGGTGGAAAAATTAAACTACCCAATGACTCGCTTTGATATTGTGTATTTAGTCAGCATTATAAGTCAGTTCATGTCTTCCCCCACAATCCATTATTGGTCAGCTCTGAAAAAGATACTAAGTTACCTAAAATAAGCTCCTGGGATCAAATAAGCTACTGGAAAAGAAATTTTACATGAGAATCATGGGTATAGAAATATTGAATTTTTCTCTGAAACAGATTGAGCAAGTTCTAAAATTGATTGAAGATGCATTACTGGATATTGTATTTTTTTGTGGAAATTTGGTCTCATGAAAGAATAAGTAATAAAATATAGTGTCACAATCAAGTGTTGAATCTGAGTATTGAGCAATAACACAAGCTTTGAGAGAATTGATGTGGGTCTCCCAATTATTGACATAAATGGATTTTACGATGACAGTTCCAACAGAATTTTGGTGTGATAATCAAGTTGCAATTCATATTACTTCAAATTCTATATTCTATGAACGAACTAAGCGTATTGAGATAGATTATCATTTTATTCGTGAAATGATTAAACAAAATTTGATTTCTACAGCTCATGTAAATACTTAAGAATAACTTAGAAACATCTTCAAAAAAGCTCTTAATAAAACTAGGGTCACTATATTTGTAACAAGTTGGGCATTATAAATATATACACTTCAACATGAACGGGAGTGTTATGGAAAATATTAAATCTAATGGTTGTCTTTTAAGAAGCTTGTATATTAGGAAATGTGATATTATTTAACCTAATTATAAGAGATCTAATTATAGAATCTTCTCCATATTAGAAATATTCCTAATCCATAGAGATGGGAGTGTATATAAATATGTTAACATATATTTTCAATTGATAAATAAGAAAAAAAAGTTTTCTAGTCACAAACACCAACCATCACAAACAAAATGACATAGCAAGCTCAACTTATTACAACAACTACAACAACAAGCCTTTATCCCACTAAGTGGGGTCGGATACATAAATCCTTTATCCCACTAAGGAAGATCAACTTATTATATAATAAAAATTGGAACTGCCAAATAGTAATGAAGGAAGGTTAGTATACTATGTTTATAAAACATAGATAGAATAAGTATCAAAACAAGCATTTAGATATTAGAATCTAGCACGTTTGATTAACGGATAGACAAATAAAATTTCAGAATAATCTAGACGGTTGCTCACTGTTTCTTCTAGCTGCCGATTCAGGTTTTGCATCTCTTCAACCATGCGACGGACCTCGGCCAGTATGGCTTTTTCAGGAAGTCTTTTCAACTCAACCTTTCTTGCTTGTGCCTTAACAAATTAAAAAAGATAAAGTTGTAGCAGAAACATCAGATAAAAATTAATATCATAATACATGCAAACAAACAGTTTTGTATAAGATCTGATGGCGACAATGTGTTAGAAAATAAAAAATAATTTCACAATTTGATCTGCAAATACAATGATAAGAACAAAATTAGTCAAAATTTCTATAAGGAATTACTCACACAAATTATTGCAAAAAATTGCATGTCCACATTCTTTTTACAGTAAAAATTGTGGTACTTTGTACTTAAGTATCCATCATAAGATGTCGATGTAACACTGGAGTGAAGTAATTCCTTACAAAAATTTCTATGGCAAACAACAACAACAACAAGTGTTTCATTTAATTCTAATAGATTAAGATCATTTTTTATATAATACGCCCAAGTCTTTCAAGGTCTACATCTGTCTTTCTTAACATAAGTTGAATCTAAAATATTTACTCTCCTAACCGGAGCATCAGATGATTGACATTTAATGTGACCAACCCATGTAGGACGATTCTCTCTAATCTTGTCTACCACTAGAGCTACACTAGATAGATTCGTTTCGCATTTTGGATCTAAGTGTCAAGCCACTCATCCACTTAAGAATTCTCATCTCAGCAACAAAATTTTTTTTTATACTTCTCTTTTAAAGGCCAACATTCAGTGTCATAAACCATCTTATAAATTTTCCATTAAGTCTAAACGTACTTTTCAATCACTCAATAGGCTTGATATATTTCTCCACTTAAACCAACCAACCTGAATTCTACTAATAACATCCTCATCTATATCGCCATCACTTCGAACAATAGACCCGAGTTATCCAAAACGTTCACATATTTTAATAATTTGATCGCCTATAGTTATAACTCTGAAACTAGAGCTACTATTACTAAAATTACATTCTATGTATTCAGTTTTAGATCTACTCAAACGAAGACCTTTAGAATCCAATATAGACCTCCATAATTCAAGTATTTTTCTGAACTCTTTCTCTAGTTTTATCCACAAAAAAGATATCATCCATGAAAAACATGCACCAAGGTACATTCTGCTGTAAATGTCCAATAAGAGCCTCCATAACTAAAGCAAAATGATATAGGCTTAAAGTCGAGCCCTGATGTAATCCAACTGAAATAAGAAAATACTTGGTCAAACCTCCTTTTGTTCAAACACAAATAACAGCTCTAATATACATATCTTTAATGACTTGAATACAAGTCATATCAATACATTTCTTTTCTAGAACTCTCGAAAGAACTTATGTTAGAACGTTATCCTTGGTTTTTCTAAATCAATAAAAATCATGTGCAGATCCTCCAAACTCTTTTTGTACTTCTCCATCAAACTTCTCAATAAATATATAACTTCCATCGTAGCCTTGTTCGACATAAATCCAAACAAATTATGAGAAATATTTGTATCACGTCTTAACCTATGGTCAATTACACTCTCCCACAATTTTGAAGTATGCCAAATTAACTTAATTCCTCTATAATATGCACACTTTTGTGCATCCACTTTATTCTTAAAAATAGGACCAAAATAATCTTCTTCCACTCCTCAGGCATCTTTTAGTTTTTTAAATGATAATGAAGGGTTAAGCCAAGAAAATCCCAAAACTCCTAGAAAATTTCATACTTCAATTGGGATATCATCAGGTCCTACTGATTTTCCACCTTTTATTTTTTTTTCAAGCCCCTCCAAGTTGCTTTATACTAAAGCGACAATAAAAATAAAAAACTTTATTATTATTAACAAAACTAAGATCACTAATGATAATTGCATTTTTAGAAATTTTATTGAAAAATATTATCAAAATAGCTCACCCGCCTATGTTGAATATTTTCCTCTAAGAAAAATATTTAGATTTTCATCATTAATACACTTTACTTGAATTAAATCTTTAATTTTCTTTTCTTATTGTTTGGCTAGTTTATACATACTTTTTCACTCTTAGTAATATATTATAAAGATCACTAAAAGCAGAATTCTTAGCATCACAAATTGTTCTCTTTGACTCGCTGCGGGTCACTTCATATTTTTTTCAGTTCTTTAACTTTTACATTGAAACCAATTTTTAAAACTTTTTATATTTTATCTTTTCTTGCACATTATTATTTCATCACCAACTAATTTTATTTATAAAAATTTTCCTTTTGATTCTCTAATTATATATTTTGTCAATTGTTTAATGATGATTGTTACTTTATCCCACATAAAATTAGTTTCTTCATGAACATCTCAAATCTTGAAATCTTGAATTTTATTCATAAAAATAATTTTTTCATAAAAATATCTCATAAAGGTAATTTTATTTGTCTTTTAAGTCTCTTCATTTTATTCTATGACAATGTTTCATTATATTTTTTATCTTACAATCCTCAACTTAAAATCCAGAACTAATAATCGATGTCAATTACTTAAAGTTGAGCACATAAATTTTCACTTAGAATGACCTTACAATTCTTATAAGAAAATAATCAATTTGTGTTTTATTAGATCTAATCTTATAAGTAATAATATGGTCATCTTTTTTCTTAAATAAAGTATTTACAATAACAAAATCATAAACTAAAGCAAAATCTAATATGATTCTACTTTATTCATTAATCACTCCAAAATCATAGCCTTGTATGGGGCACACAGTGGCTTTGGTACGGTGCCCCAGCATTCCTTGAACTGCCACCTAAGCTGAGAGTGGAAAAAGTGCTTTTTTCTAAAACAGGGTTAGAATTGGAACGTTTGTTTTCGTAAGAGCTAGCAAGTTGGAAATCCATAGTTAGGAATTTTAAAAAGATTTGATTTAGCTTAAAGATCAATTCAAATTTATTTTTTACTAAAATAGATTATTTTCTGAGCATGGAAAATCGCTTTCTTTCTATAGCAGAGATTAAAATAGGAATGGAGGAGGCGCATAAGTGAGATTGCACGGAGCTTCTCTCCAATCTAGACAGCACAAAATAAAGTTTCTTTAGGAAACAAACGGAGGGCAAACAGGAGGCTCGTATGAATAAGGAGGGATTTGAAGAGAATGTGGAGCCCCAACCTCTACGACAAAAGAGAGATTGGTTCAAGCCAAGTTCGAAATAATTTTGAGGCTTCAGCTACCACGACTCTTCTGCAATAATATGAGATTTGGGGATGTTTAAAAAGCATCATTAAGGACATTTTCCTTTATTATTATCATCTCAGTATAATAACATATAAATACATTCTATTGTAAGATTCCAGAAAAAGCTTATTACTATAAATATTATTATCACTATTATTTAGTTATAGCCTATAAAATTAGTTCAAATTAATTTGCTAAAATAGTGCAATGAGATTACTGAAAACTTCTCTAAAGGTGTCTCTTGAAATTCAAGTTATAGCCAAATTTGTTTATAATAAAGAAACAAATTGAAGCGTAGCATTCTATATTATTTGTTCTTTGTAATTTACCTCTATTAGTGGCTTTCACAGATCCCTCCTATGATTAATGGCTTTGCCTCCGACAACATTCTATTTGAAGCCCTCTTCCTATGGTGAATACCTTTGAGGCTAAATTTGTAGTTCTTAGCTCCATTCAATGACTTTTAATTTGGTGTTACCTGCGACCTCCTCCTACAACTGAGTCTTGTGGCTTCCTTAACAGCTTCAATGATTTTCTACAAGGTTGGACAATGTCTTTTGGGGTTCTTTAAGGATTTCCTCTCGTTGTAACTTAATGGTAGTTTATATTCAGAAAAGAGAGACCATTTAGCTTAAATTACAAAAGCATCAGCCTCGGAATCAAATATGATAGACCATAAAGTAATGATAAAAGAGATGAAACACAATAAAAACAGCAAAAATTATGCAGTTCACTAAGATCCACATGCATCCACAACTGCGTTTATGTCAAAGAATAAACTAAGCTTCAACAAAGATGCATAAAGAAATTTTACTTCATACATTTTTAAAAAATAAAAATTAACATGCCGCTTTGAAATAGTTAAATATTAAATAGAAATTACCGATTACTGGGAACTTTCTTCTTCAACCATTAAGGCAAAAGAAATTATTCTTATTGTTCAAAACTTCCAAAAAGGTGCACGTTACTGTTGCACACATGGAGATCCTTCCCTTTCTAACTCAGGAATCAAGATAGCAAAAGAAAACCATAATTTCTTACCAGCTCTCCAAAAACTCGAAACAGACACCACTTTCCATTTGCTAATATCCTAAAAGCTAACTTTTCTTCACCAAATTGTGACGCATCACTGAAATCATTGAATCCAACACATCACCACTCATTGTTACACTTTGTATATGAAGAGTCCATCAACTCTATTGGCTTTCAAGATAACCAAAGAACTCTTACAAACCATAAGGTCATTAGAATAACTAAAGAGCACATACCCGGCAAGATTAAAAGAACCTGATGATTGTACATTCTTTTTTAGATATGATGCAAACCTGTCTCCAACCAACAACAAAACCATCACACTATTATATGTTCTACATTTCTCAAATCCATAACCTCTTCATCTCAACATAGTTATGTATTAATACACTAGAGCTTGTCTTATATGTAGAGAGCATTTTCAAATCAAGTGTAATTTTTATTCAGTATTCCATGCTTTGCTAATGTAATGATTATGTCATTGATTTTGCTTAAGTTTGATATAATGTGGTTTTGTCCAGATTTCATAGAATGTAAGTAAGAAATTTTAAGTTTTATTTCTAATCAATTTATCGTTCAAATTTTGCTCTTAATATTTATATTTCTTATTGAAAGTAACAAACAGCTGTTAAAATTAAGAGTTTTTGCCCCACAAAATTGTGCGTACATTTTGAAAAACTCTCTCTCAAAATAGAAATGCACTAGAAACCTCAAACCTGAAGATGGATTATATTATTCAATGAATTAGAACAAACTTGAGACTATAGCTTCTAGATTTCTATCCAGTCAAGAGTGGGGCTTCGCACCAATGCTTCACATACGCAATAACCTAGCCACCTGTGTTGTGCTTC